AATAAATTAAACTTTGATAAAAATGAGCATTATTTTATTAATTGATCGAATAATTTTATTATTAAGTAATTAAGTATGAATTAAACAATAAGTTTGCTCCTAAACTATCAATACAGTTTTGCCATCTACAGCTTGCTGGGAATGAAATATTTTTCCTTGCAAGAAGTGATCTAATACCTGGAAACAATGCTAGTTAGTGGGTGCAAGGTCTGAGGAATACGGTGAGTGAAAAATAATTTCCAAGTCCAGCTCTTGGTTTGAGCAACGTAGTCGAGTATTGTCCTTCAAGTGGCATGACCTGTTTTTATTTACCAATCTCGGTTGATTAATACCAAGCTTCCTCATCATTTCGTATATTTGATTACAGTAGACATCCGCCATAATCGATTGACATGATTTTATGAAACACCAGCACTGGATCACCAAAGCTTTCAACTGATCAATAATCACCTTGTTCTTAAGTCGCCAAGTGATTCAAACGTACTGTGCGTTAATTATCCACATCCCTACCTAACACTTTGATGACATTTCTAGTTGTCTGCGCTGCATTTCTTCCGTGATGGAACTCACATTTGAAAATAACGCACGTACCATCACAATTAAAAAGATCAAAGAACTGTTAAAATAAAAATCGGAGATATCGAGAATCTAAGTTGCTATTTAAGGTAATCGGATATTTCATATGTAATAATCATATGATAGAATCTAATAATTAATTATAAATAAGAGAATTTTATTAATTTCTAAATTATATAGTGAAATTTGATTTAAATACTATACTTTTGTGTAATATGGATCATCAAGGTGAAGAAACGTTAATGAAGATGGCTTTGTCCAGATGAAATTTGAATAATTTTTGTTTGTTATAAAGGATCTGAATGATTCATTAAAACCATCATTGTTGTGACTTGATGAGGTTAGACTTTACGTGATGAATGGTGCTTGAATTCCATAATGTAAGGGTAGGCGTGAAAATAAAAAAAAAATCGGCAATGAATGGGAGAGGATCCAAAATGCAAATGTCTCTTTCGAGAGGGGTGATTTCTTTGCATGGTGTCGTCCATTAGAAGTGAATTTGCCTGTGCCGTGTGCGTTAGGTTTATCGAGTCGCGGTGGCAGATTTTAATGATAATAAATTGTAGGTAGAACCGTAAACATTGCAGGTCGAGCGTGGAAAGAGAGGCCATTCAATTGGGGCCGTTAATTTGCATGCGCTCGGTGAAAATACTTAGTCGCCGCCGCCGCTCGGCCCGATTAATAAAGCCTTCCGTTGAATTATGAATATTGTCCGTGCACGGCAAATAGACCGTGCACGACCGATTTTACACTGTTCAGGTAAATAAACTGGTAAACAAACGCTCCGTTTAACGCCCTCTAGAGATTTACAAGAAGTCGGCGGCGCCGGTACCGACGCCACCTCAGACCATCGCCCTCCTCACACCGTCTTACACCCCCGCAATTTCTCCAGGACCGAAGTTTCCGTTACGTATATATATATATGTACATCTATATATACATAGAGATACAGAGGCACAGACAGAGGGAGTAATAGTAATTACTTCGCTGTTCTACTTTGCAAACTTCCAATATCTAGCTTTGTGTTTAGACATCGTATATATTTCACGGTACAGAACCCCATCCCCTCAGAGTCGTCCTCGCTCTCGACCTCCATCCACCTTCACCCCTTTCCGGTACACTCCGTGCTTTAATTCATGCTCGAAACCGCTAATATCTGTCTTCCTAACAAAACGACCCAAAAACATAAACCAGTGAAAGAGAAGGCAGAGGGAACGAAGCAGAAATAAAGGATGCTAGCGTGATTGGAAAGTTTCTATTTCGCCTTCCTCGCCATCAAGATAGGACCACTTCACTAGTCCGGAATCCCCAAAGCCCAGGACAGCATTAAACTCTAAAAAGTAATGCCGCCTCCGAACAGGCCTTCTCATCTTACTCTTCGTCCACCTCCACGAAGGCGACTTGTTGTTGGACGATTGCATTTCCGCTTCGCCAAAGTCCAAGATTAATGTCTTACAAATAATTCAGATAGCGTCAGCACAATTTCAACTAGACCCAGACATTGATTTCGATTCTTCCACTTTCCTATTTCAAGTAGAAAGTCTCTATTTAAAATAAACTTCAGCTATTAAATTAGTTACTGCATATTCGAGATAGCCAAGATTTTAATGGAATATTTTACTTTCTGAAAACATGTCTTTAATGCATCAAATACTGAATGCATCAAATACTGCCACAATGAGATTAATAAAATAGTACATTTTCAGCAGAAATTTAGGACAATAAAAATGTGTAAATAAATAACAAACATTTTTTCAATTAAAATAACTACAATGTGATGCATATTTATTCATCTTTTTCTTCTTTCCACCACATTTAGCCGAGATTCAGCGGTTCTGTACACTGGGATTGGGATGAGTCTCGGGGAAATATGATTTTACTTTGTAGGAGTTAATCTGCAACCAGTAGTATGTAGAGACACTATATATATATACCGTTTTTTTTGTTTTCCTCACGAAATTTATCAGAGCGGAGTAAGTATCTCTCTGTTTTGTGGCGATTAACGAGGTTATGGATGTTGGCAACAAAACCTTCAGCGATATCAATTCAGACATTAGTTTCTTGGAGGCCTTTATGTTCTTTCGGCATTCAAAGAGTATGTGGATCACAGTTCCTACCTCTCCACCTCACATCTATCCGAGTCGCACCAGCTCATTCTGTGGAGATGGGCCGGCGCTAGGTTGTGTCCTGACCTAAGCTTTGTGAGGATTGAAACGTCGACCTTCTTATGTATGTGAAGTTGCTCGAATCAGGGAACGGATGATACTGTACCGAACATGTTGAAATGTTTTTTGACTTTTTGTACTCCTACCGTATCATACCAATCCTGCCATCCATGCGTCTCCTTGTCTCTTAGATCGGGGTAGAGATCCATGTAGTGTAGCTTAGCTAGCCAGTTCGTCGCGATCTCGTTTCCTCTTATGCCTTTGTGTGAGGGGATCCAGCAGAGTTTGGTCTATGTAGCCCTCTCTGCAAGGTCCTTGCAACATGTTCTTATCAGTGTCACCCAATGATTAGTGGATATAGTGCATCTGCCATATTTATTCATATTTTCGATTATTTGAAATACTGTCATTTCGTAATTTATATTTAATTATTAATAAATAACTGGAAAACAATGTGCTAAATTTATATAATTTAAGAATACACTGTAAAGAAAAATTTGAAATATGTACTTACTAAATTGTAAATTAAGTCATCTACTAAATAAATACTCGTCTGAAGTTCTTGTACAAATAACGCATTGTGAATATTTTACAGTTACGAATCTTAAATTTATTGAATAAATTTAAGTTTAAACAGATAAATTTGCACAAATATTTTCAAGATTAAGGATAATAACGGTCCAAATCCTACTCAGAATATTAAATTTACTGTTTGTATTTTTTTTCTCGTATCACTTACTAGGTACGCTCACAGACACGCTCGATCTCTTTCACTTTAGAAATTATGACTGGAATTAAAATTAATTGTAAGATAATACCCGAGTAAATCTTGTTGGAAACGTGCATGTGTGAAAATGGCCGTTGGCGATGGGAGTGCATAAACATAGGAAAATAAAAAAAAGGGATAACGCGAGAAAGAAATAAAGTAGAGGAAATATAAGGCGCTTTAAGCGATTCCAATTTGTGTGACCCGAGTGTTGGAGGGAGAATATCAGTAAAAACGTTTTAGGACATTTATCCAGTCTCCAGATAAAAATAATAGAGAATCCCGGTTAAAGCAAACAAAGCGAGTGAAATAAATGGCCAAATGTAAACACCGTAAGAGAGAGATTTGGAATGAGGAGTGAAGGGCTTGAGTGAATGCGTAAAGTAGGAAACATTTAAATGTTTATTCAACCAGTTGGTCAAGCATAAGGTTAAGAAATATGTGGAAGATGAGGATAATAAGGAAGAGAGAAAGGTGAGTAAGATGAGGAAGATAAAGAAGATGAAGAAGATGAGGAAGATACAGAAGATGAGGAATATGAGGAAGATTAGGAAGATGAAGAAGGTGAGGAAGATGAGGAAGTTGAGAAGGATGAGGAAGATGAAAAAAATTAGGAAGTTGAGGAACGTGAGGAAGATGCGTATGATGAAGAAGAGATGAAGGTGAGGAAGTCGAAGAAGAAGAGGTTGAAGAACAGAGGGATTGAAACTTTAAAATTAAAAGAGTCATTAATGCATCGGGAAATCCGTTCTGGATGAATTTACGGCCTCGTGCGGTTAAAGAAGGAAAGAGAGGGGACGGCGAGTGTACGTCAATTTAAAAGTTTTTAATTGTTGATTAATGATGATCTGGCAGCGCGTCACATTTATTAATTATCTGTTAGGGAGATGTTCCTATGAGATGATTAAGTGCACGCCCGTTCGCTTGTCATGGATAAACAGGCTCTCCACTGTGTACTCATTAGGAGTGTTTGTTTTGGGATATATCCAATAATACCCGGTGCACAAAGTGCTCACAGAAATTTGTTGTTTACCTAACTACACGCAGGATCGCTGCTCGCCTAGCGCCGACGAGGCCAAGACTTCTTTTGAACAAACATTTCACGAATCCAAACTCAAGAACAAATACACAGAGAAACAAACGACCTGGTATATTTAAATCTAGACAACACATCCTAATCCCATACTGAAACTGAGAACAACAACAATTTTAAATAATTATAACCTTGAATAGAAGTAAATGATTAATTAATATTTGAATAAGAATTATTTGCAATTTGTTACATTATCATTGTTTAAATAAAAATATATCGCGTATGAAAGATAACATATTTTTCAAGTGATAAAAAAATGGTTAGAACATAATTTACATTTAAATTACCTACAGTCTATATTAATTATATAAAAAGGTAAGTTTAATCTCTTTATAACATATTTAATAAAATCTCATATTTTTTCTTCTTAGATTATCTCAATCTTGAAATAATAATTAAAATTAGCAATGAAACTGATCGACGTAGAAGGTTTTATGCTTGGCGAGAAAATCTTGGAGGTGAAAGATGCAATCCTGGAAATGGAGGTGCGAGATTCGGATATTTGGATATGCTCTTTCCCGAGATCTGGAACTACGTGGATGCAGGAAACCGTATGGATGATCGCAAACAATTTGAACTACGATAAGGCCAACAACGAAATCCTTCACATAAGAAGTCCTTTCTTAGAGTAATTATTAATATAAATATTTGCATTTGAATATTTTTTATTCTTTTTTTTTTCAGGATGCATCAAGTGCAGAATTGGAACAGAATTAAAGCCACGTTTCCAGACTCATTCAAAGGTATTGGAACATCTGTGGATTTGACGGACAAGTCTTCGGATCCTAGAGTTATTAAGACACATTTACCATGGCATTTGTTACCGAAGCAAATGCAAACGGGAGAAAAAAAACCTAAGGCATTTTAGGAATTAATTATAATTGATGTGTTTATGAAAGTTTGGTTTTGCAGATTGTGTTCGTTTATAGAGATGTAAGAGATGTGTGCGTCTCATATTATCATCATCTTAAAGTATTCGAGAACGCGTTTGGAGGCTTTGATGAATATGCTGAAACGTTTATGCAAGGCAAAGGTATTTATATTTATAAATTTATTGGAATTAGTTGGGATTGAATTTGTGCTTTGAGTGCTCTATGGTCCGTACTGGGAATACTTATCGGGCTTCGAGGATCGGCCCAACATGCTGACCGTTAGATACGAGGATTTGCGAAAGGACCTGAAGTCCGAGTTGTCGAGATTGGGAAAGTTCCTGGGGAAGCGATTGGACGGGGAGGCTCTTGATCAGCTGGCGGATCACCTGAGCTTCGAAGCGATGAAGAAAAATCCTGCTGTCAATCAGGAGAAATTGCTCGGATCCCTGAAGCCGGGCCAGGATTTCATCAGGAAAGGAATCGTGGGCGGTTATCGCGAAGTCTTCTCACTAGAACTTAATGCAAAATTCAATCGATGGATTGCACAGAATGAAAATAAAAATTAATTGTATTTTACAGTTCAACCACACCTCGTGGTTTTAATAATAATCATGATGGTAATAATAATAATAATCGGTTTTGCCAATGGCCAAATCCAATTACGGAATGCAGCTGGACGAAAAAAATGGAATGAAATCTAATTAATGTTAATACAATTTTCACAACGCGCAAAGCAAATTGGATTTGGCGATGCGGTTATGTTGTATTGCTCTGATGTATAAGCAGTGACAGGTCGTGTTGGAGTGTGTGTATGTGTGAGAGAGAGAAAGAGAGAGGACGAACTTGGCGTAATCATAGAAAAGGGGATAATCCTGCTGTTTTAATTATTCGTCCGGTTTTGCAGGACGAAAAGAAAGAATGGAAACAAACGAAACGGCGACAACAAAAGCCGAACACGGTGTTCTTTGGGATGCGACGAAATTGTTGCGGCAGGATTAATTATACTAATACGTTCGGATCCTGCTGGTCGCAGTGCAGAGCCGAATTGGCGTGATTATCGCGCGCACGATTTCCGAAGGATTAAAAGGTGAATTCGAGGGCGGAATTTAATTTGGAAATGTGTTTGCTCGATCGGATTCCTCTTCGAGGCCCTTCGTCGTAGTAAACAAGCCTCCCGTTTCTATTTTTTGTTCATTGTCGTCCACTTCCTCATCTTCAACCACGTCCACCCTGCCTCTGCATTATTATGTCGTACGCCCTTTTTAGTTTTATTAATTGGATGGGAACGCATTGGTGGGTGGGCCTCGAAGCCCGCCTTCAGACGGTAATTAAGCTGGGCCCTAAACCGAAACATTACTCAGCCGTTCGCTATCTTTCAGCTGTCTTCAGATGGAAGACTGCGATAGCGACGGACGCGGGGGCGTTTTAGGAAATTGGCGCTATTCTTTCATCCACCCTATATATGCCCACTGCGCACTCACTCCTCTTAACTAAGTTAATGCGATCCGTATCGGCGAATCTCGAGGAGGACCCCAAGGTCATTAATTGAATGTAAAATTGGATGACTTTTCCTTCGACACAATTCCATTTCTAACTGTTATGTTTCTTTTAGTACATCAAGAAAAAAAAAATAATGGCTGAACAAATAAAAAGTGTTGGAGATATTGTTGGCGCAAAAATAAACTCCATTTTGTTGTTGAATTATTCAGCGTTTCCGTTGCGCCCGAAATTGCTGCTGAAAGACTTGCGTAATTAGCAACAAAGGAAAAGGATAACTCGATTAAGGCAGCCGTATGGCACTCTGCCCCTCTCCGTCTGCGGAATTGCATCAAGGAACATTTTAAATAACTTAGAGCGGTGCGCGAGGAGAGGAACGAGAAGAAAAGATGCGGATCGAAACACAACTATAGAAAATACAAATAAAATACGTGAGAGTGAGATGGAGCAGGACAATATAATTAACGTAATTAAGAAGTTAATTCGGCGCAATTAAACGAGAATATTTGCCAGTGTACTTTAGTAACTGCATTCTAAAACTGTTCGTTAATTAAACAGTTCGTTAACAATTAACCTAACTAACATATAGCTTCTAAAGATCTCAAATTGTGGATGTCGATAATCAAGAAGATGAAAGAAATATGATCATTGTTATGTAAAAAAGATAACTAATGATAAATGCCATCTAGCGTTAATATTTTAATAATGAATATTACAATTTGAAATGAATGAGTTAATTTCTTAATCGTCTAGTTAATAGTCAGTGTAGATTAATATGGAATGTGTATACATGCTGAGATTCATTTGATGAGATGTTAAAATATTTTCGTGCGCGGTTGTTTCATATGCAATGGGTGAATTAAATTTTAATGGAATCACCTCGGCTTGCAGCGGGACGCGACATCTGGTTGGTATTGAAAAAGTTGTCAGCTCCGACTCTAAAGAGGAACACAGTTCGGCTTTTGGTTTTTGCTTTTCTTTTGTCCGTTTTAGGTCAAGAACCTTCGAGAAACTTTGATTATTATTATTATTGTTATTATTGCGGTTGGGTTTTTCGTCGCTCTGCTCCATCCATCCATTCCATTCCGACTCGATTTTTGTTATTCCTCTTCCATTCTCTTTCTTCATCCTCGCCATCATCATCATCATCATCATCCACCTCTACAGTTTCTTCTTCTTCTACTCGTCGAAGAGAGTTCGATCACAATATTGTAATACATTTTTCGCTCCGTTGACAATATAAATTATAACTCACTCGTTACGGCCTGCCGAGAAGTGGAGACTGCTGCTTCTACACATCCTCCGACGTTTCTGTTCTTCAGCTTGTCCATGTTGGTCGCCCTTTGTGTTTGTGTGCTTGCATGTATGCGTCTCTCTGTATATGTTCATGCGTGTGCATGTGGATTTGTGTGTGTGAGTATAAGAAGTTGTCTGGCTAAAAGTACCCATCTTATTGTCCATTAAAACACGGCGTTTGTTTTTCAATTCGCCTCGACCACATTCCGCCTTGCATTAAATTCTTAAAGTGCATATAAATTCAGGTGGAAAAATAAAACGGGAGCAGCGGGAAAAAAATCCGCGAGAGAGGCTCGCGGTGTTTGTATATAGTGTTATCTCCACTTACTTTAAAATATATGTTTTTATTGAAGTCGCTTTCGTGTATAAGTATATATGGCTAGTCTTCAACTCTATTACGCTGTCTCCTCATGTGCGATTTAGCTGCTACGTTCTTTACTCTTCGGGTCGCTTCCCATTCTTCTTCCATGCCTCCTCTTTTTTTCGTGCGCTTCAACTTCAACTAATTAAGCTTAAAAATACAACTCTTTTGAAGTTACCCGACTGCCGACGACCACTAGCTCCTCGACGCGGCTATCGGACTTCTACGTTGTTTTTATTCTCCTCTCTGCACGGCCTCCTTGAATTTATTCATCGCGTTCCCTTCCACCCTTTCCCTCCCGCAAGTAAATCGCTAAAAGTTGTTAAATCACGATCTAGTTTATCTCCACTCTCCAATTAAACTCGATCTTATCAGGAATTCCGCATTCGATCGGATTTTAAAAGCTGTTGCTCCGTCATTAAATTAATGAATCAACTACCACTTTTTGCAGCTAATTACAAATGTAAGCAATCTAAAAATATACTGTCATCTCCGCAATCACTAAATTCTAAACTAAACGTTTCTTAAGAAACCTTTTTTGCAACAACAGATATATGCTTATAAGTTTAGATTAGATGATGCATCCACAACATAAATTATAAGAGACATACATTTCTGTCACAATAATTTGGTATACCTGACAGGATTTATTAATAATTTAAAAGTAAAAAAATATTTTATTATAAACTAAAAATTGAAGAAATTTTACAAATTAATATAAATAATAAAAAAAACAAATATTTACAACACATATTTTTTTTACGCAATTGTTTTTTAATAAATATAAGGAAATTTTTATCTTAATAATATACATATAAGAAAACAAATTTCACAAAATATTTTGTAATATATAATCTAAATTACATGTGCATTTTAAAGCAAATTCATATATAAATACGAATTGTTCATATTGTGACTTGTATTAAGTAAAATGAAGGTAATCGTAGCTTTAATTTTCGTGGTGATTGCTGTTTTGCAAGTCGAAGGTAAGTGAGAACCTTATATAAATTCACTTGAAAATATTTTTTTTTGTGGTAGTTTCAAGTCGCGGTTGTCACTGCAACAGGAACGAAACCAGGCACGTAATTTGTAGCAATTGTTTCGAATATGAAGAATTATGTGAGAATACTCCAAGCACTCCAACTCCTGAACTTTGCGACGAAAGATGCCACAAGGTTTGCAGATGTCTACCCGCGTATTATAGAAATCCATCTGGCAAATGCGTATTAAAAGAGGATTGTTAATAAACACGAATTGTAATTTAGATTTTATTTGGTTTTATAATAAATATGGTTATGGATGGGATTTTGTATTCACTGAATTTGCAAATATCTGCACTCGACACTATTTTTCTGATAACATCGTAACTGTGCACATTCGAAGCAGTAATTCGCACACGTGGGAATCCGTTGCAGTAAAATGTTTTCCAAGATTGCAACGGACAAATTCAATTTCGTTCTGAGAGGTAAACAGTTCTGAAAGCTGTTATCAGAGCGAGGAGAAACAGAAGTGGGTCGAGGCTCTCGTTTCTCTGCTTCTTCCTTTTCTAAGTTCAAGCAACGACAAGGATCTCTTTATTTACAATAGGCTTCGCGTCGGATAAATTGCACAGTGGTATTCAAATCAGTTCAGGCCTGGCTTCGAGACCAGGAATGAGATATATCGAAGGTAGTAGTAGGAAGGTAGGGAAGGAACATACATAGAGGCGCGAGCTATAGGCTATACGCTGCTGCATAACTGGAAAACACGTGGAGTCAAGTACCCCGACTGCCATTAAGAAGCGATTTATTTTCTATTGTCTCGGACTTATTTCGGTTTTGTTGTGTTTTGTGAGAATTTATTAAATGTTTAATTTAATAATATGCTAATCGCCTGCTTATTTGAATAATAATGGCCATTTGGAATTGACTAAGAGGAAAATCGGAATTTACTACTACTACCGCAATACACGACCACCTGATATGTATACGAGTACAACACTACAATATATTTTTTTCCAAACAAAACATTAGTTTCTATGAAATGCAATATGTGCACAGAAAAATAAGAATAAGAACATAGTAATAATTGTTGGAAAAATACTTAAAAGAGTTTTTGTCATCTTTCAACCAATGATAAAAGAAAGATAAACAAATAATTAATGAAATAATGAAAATATTATGAATAATTTATTGTAATGAAAATGACTAGCGTATGTAAATTGGTGTAGCGGAGTTAAATGTTTTGCTCTATATACGTAAATTATAGCTAATTTCATGTTCGGAATTGCAATATGAATATAAATTATTATGTAATAACGACTGCTTTTAAATGATTTTTTTGATACTATTATTAATAGTTTCAGATTTATTGATTTAACAAGAAATTATTAAATCCGACATATTTTTGTTTGTTTTAATGCATATCTTTGAATAAAGTATTTTA